ACTACAACAGGGCCATTGAGCTGGATCCAAACTTTGCCAGCGCATTTCGCAACCGGGGCAACTCCAAGCACAGTGTTGGCAAATACGAGGAGGCCATTGAGGACCACAACAAGGCCATTGAGCTGAAGGCAAATGATGCCATCGCATTCCGCGAGCGTGGCAACTCCAAACACAATCTTGGCAGGTATGAGGAGGCCATTGAGGACTTCAACAGGGCCATTGAGCTGGATCCAAACTACGCTATGTCTTTTTGCATGCGTGGGAGTTCGGTGCGATTGCTGGGCAACCATGAGGCTGCCATCAGAGACCTTGACAAGGCCCTTGAGCTGGAACCAGAGAATGCCCTTTTCTTTCGAAGCCGCGGTGATTGCAAGCAGGCCATTGGCAAGCACGAAGCTGCGATCGAGGACTACAACTTGGCGATTGAGCTGAATCGCGACGATGTCATAGCAGTTGCTAATCGCAGCTTTTCGGAGTGCGCTCAAAGGAAACTCGACAAGCCGCCGATAGATGTGGAACTCGTGTGGCTGGTGGAGAAGCTGAAACAATTGCAGAAGGAAGTGAATCAGCCCATCGATTGCTTGCTCAAGCAGGTGATGGAACAGACATCGGATTTTGTGAACTCTCACCCAAACATGCAGTTGCTGCCCTCGCAGTTGGACCCGACATTTGAATGCGATGGAACCAGTGGCTCCTTCTCCGTTTGCTCGTTAGGCTCATGGATTGATGTGGGTTCTCAAGGGTGCTGCTGCTTCCTCCCTGACACCTATTTCACCGTTTTGATGGAGGATGGGGAGGTTCTTACGCCTGCCCGACGGCTATTCCAGGGTGCCAACGTCGTTGCAGCCAATGGACGAACGACCGAGGTGACTTTTCCGCCGGAGCAACACCAGGTCCATGCGGTGATCGAGCTGCAGGCAGGTGATGCTTTTCTGGTGGTCAGTCCAGACCATCGAATCCTGGTGCCTGGAAACGTGACGGTCCAGGCACAAGACTTGCATGTAGGGAGCGAAGCAACTGGACTTGATTCAACGATTCAACATGATTCCACTGATTTTTGTGCTCAATTGTCGGTCAGCAGGGAAACCTTCTCCATCTCCAAAATACTGCAGGTCAACGAAGAACTAAAAGACTGTCAGACCAGAATGTCATTTTCTGTGGAGGGGCTGTAGCTGCTAGCTAGGTGAATAGCATAGCCTGCCACATCCATGTAGCCTACCGTCCCAGTCAGCACAGACTTGTATAGCGATCGCACTGCAGGCACCTCCAGGTGAACGACGAAATCCACAGTGTTGGCTAGCTTATAGTCCCCGTAGCCCGCATAGACCCTTTGCGCAGCCATGAGTTCGAGCAAAACCAGCGCAAACCAAGCATTGCTCAGGTGATTCTGGATGGCAACCTAGCCGCCCTCACATCCTTGAAGTGGAAGGTCGAGCCAACCATTGTGCTGAAGATAGGCTTCAAACCAGATCTTCCAGTGGCCGCATTTTTGCGTCCCCCAGCCATTTTGAGTAAAGGCTTTCGTCAGAAGCCTTTCCGTCGTGGTATTAGAAAGAAGGCTTCGACCTTCGCGCAAGGTGACGACGCACTCACCATCCTCACCATGCCAGATACTGAAGGGTATTTGACAGACTAATTCATTTAGATAGTTTGCACGGTGGAGCAGCCGTGTTTAGGAATTGAGATTGCTGCATTTGTTTCCGAAACTTGTGCGTGTGCCGGTCCTTATGATGTCTAGCGGAACGCCGCACGGTTTAGACGTGTCAGTTTCTAGGGCGTCAAGACCCATGATTTGTCTTAGCGCACGCCCCTTTGTTGTGCCTATGGCAGATCACAATCCTTGGACATTTTACGAGATTCTGGATGTTGCGAAGCGGTGCAGGAATCTTTGACAAGGAACAGAGGGCCTTAAACAGCAGAGTGCCTTAGAATCTTAGGACAGCCAGGACCCTTTTCCAAACCACTCTCAAAGCTGCCCGCCGCGAGGTCTACTGGCCTGAAATTTTTAAGTAGGGCCTGGCTGCGCGAAGATCCGCAGACATGGTTGCTAGTAGTAAATGGTTCGCACGTCTGTGCATTTTTTTTGAAATCACTCAGCCTGGTGCACAGCAGTCGGAGAGATTAATGTGCATTTGGCTTCGATATTGCAGGAGGCCGTGAGGTGCTACAGCGAGGCCCTGGAGTTGTCTTCCGAGCTCGGGCCGAGCATTTGGCGCCAAGGCTGCAATGCAAGTAGCTGTTGGGTTCGTGGTCAGACGACTCTTTGTTGATTGCCTAAGCGGATTCTCGGCCTTGTGAGTCAAGGTGCAACCGCGCGTTGGCCTATCTGCAGATTGAGGCTGACTGAAGACATTTCTCCACAAATCTCTACAAGTCTCCTCCACCCCAGGAAGTATTCAAATGTATTCAATACATTTCAAACAACTAATCAATGAGTATTAATTAGGTTGTGAAGCGGCTTCTGAGTCAATGGATGGGTCACGGTCAATTGCCCGGTTGTAGAACCGCCTGATGATTTGGAAGGGTAGCTGTGGCCGTGGCCAGGAGTGGCAGGCGGCTGACGCCGATACTTCAGCAGTGCTGGCCAGCGAGGTCGAGGCAATGGCATGCAAAACGATAAAGGGATGACTAGCGGCTAGCGATGGCCTCCAACCTAAGAGCGATGGCCTCCATCCTAATAATGAAGCAGTCAGTGAGCGATCGCTTGATCTCCAATTGCATGTTTTGTGCTCACCAATGGATATCGACCGCCGCTCATATCATCAATGCACTGATCACCACATAACACCTCGACATCAGAGACTCTGGACTCCCACTTCCGCACCTTGCCGTGGAGGAGAAGCTTCGGGTGAAGGCCCTCTACCGCCGCGCGCTGGCGCGGGAGGCGCTGGGCCGTTTCGAGGAAGCCGAGGTGGATGCCAACCTGGCGCTGAAGGCGCGCAACATGAGGTTTTGTCACCACAAGTATGCGCGAAGCAAACGTGTATGACCAGGATCACTGTCCCAGTTTTCAGGAGATCGACCCACCTGTGTTTGTCGTACCTTCTTGAAGGGTGGCAAAGTGCAAACTTGCATTACATTAGTTTTAGAAATCGATGATGCTACTCCCTGATGGCCTGCCTTGACTTCACAGATTGAATGGGGTGTCGCGCTTGCAGCGCGCTGGAGATCCCACAAGGAGGCAAATCAAGACATCACTTGGACCAAGTCCACCATGCCATTCTCCAGACAGGAGGCTCTTCGCGAGAGCCTGATCGATGCCCTTCCAGATGAATCAATCAAACGTGGTTTCACCCAAAAATGCTCACAGGCAGCGCCCGGCAACGTCGGCATCCGTGCCGCGGCGGAGCGCCTGCGCCAGAGACGTGCCCCGGTGGCGCGTGGCTGGGTTGCGCGGCAGCCCTACCACACGGCGGCGGTGAAGAGCCTGGCAACTCGGCGGGATGACATTCATTGTTTTTCTCCAAGTGCATAGCAGTGCATAGAAAGCTGGAAGCTGGATGGGCTTTGGGGTCAGGTTTTTGTGGAAGAGCTTATGAGATGGCTTATCGCATATGGATGTTATGGATGGCCTGCATGTGATGATGTGGAAGCAGGAGTGCTTGAGTGCTTTGCTCTACTTGGCCTTTTTGTTTGCTGCAGGCGATGGCCATTGAAGGCAGCCGGTGGCTCGCTGTCAGAGAAGACTGGCCGGTGATGTCAACTGGGTTCCCATTGCCAGGTGCAGGTTGACAACGGATGACAGAGGAAGGGGAGAGAAGAAGCGCTAGAGAATTAGCTGTATACTGTAAGCAGCCAGTACAGAGTCACAGGGACCAACTGTCCCAACAAAACCTCCCCTCGATCCAAACTTTTATTTGTCACACTGAAGGTCCAGCGCGGACCTCGTGCGCTTTCCCAACGGCATGGCGGTGCAGTTCCACCAGCACAATGGTGGATTGGTAGCCATCCGTCAACTTGCCAGGGAGTTGGGTGACCAAGAAACCTTCGTTGATTTTTCCAAGGATCAGGAGGTTGGAAGGTCAGGAAGGCATAGGTCTTTTTGATGTCTTTTGATGGTATTCTGCAGCACCTGCTTGCCAGTTCTACTTCACTAGTATAGATCCCACCTTTCAACTCCAAGCATCTTTAATCACCACTTGCAGCAAGGCCTTTCGGTCCTGTCGTCTGGTGGGTGCTCCAGCGGAGCTCCTTTGAGGTCTCCCACCACTGACTTGGCAGATGGTCTTCATGCAGCTTGGCTGCTGGTGGCATGCAGCAGCAATCCTTCGATCTTATGGGGCTAGTTGAACTCCAATCATGAGATAGATTAAAGACAACTCGAGAAAGCAACAGACCTGCAGATCCTTCTATTTCTTTGTTGGACGTGTTGTGCCTCCTTGCAGTTCCTACCGTCCAGCCTGCCAGGCTGAGTATGATGTGGGTGGCAACTTAGTGAAGATCTTTTCCAAGTTTGCTCAGGCTTTCGTGGCTGGGCCAAACCACGGAATCTGTGCGAAGTTGCTTCAGGGTTGCTTGTGCTTTGTTCTTCATGCCATGGTGGCCGCATGTGCATCCAGAGCCCTAGATGTGGGCACGCAAGAGTCTCAGCAAAAAACGAGTTGATTCTGATCGGGGCCATCTTAAAATCGGAGCTCCCACTCACACGCCATGCGGAAGCTCGGGCCAGGACTTCACTGGGCCATACATCACCTTCAACGCTGATGCCTCTATTTGTCAAAGTGCTCAGATGGGCAGATGCAAAAGACACCTCCGAAGGATTTCCATGCAATTCTGTAGTTCATGATTTCATGGTGTCACAGATGGTCTCCCAAGGTTCGACATGTCACGCCCCCGCACAAACCATGGTGCTTTTGCCCGCCGCCAGCGGCGGTCACTCTGAGGCTTAGGAGAGACCTACTGCTACCAGGCCTGGTCGGATGGGCTGCGCACAGCGTGAACATTCTTTGGATCTCTAGCATCGTGAATTGGAAACTCGCTACTCTTTGTGTGATACAGATTCAATACTGGGACGACCCTTTGAGACTGTTGAAAGTCAGACTGCAACTCGAAAGCAACCTTAACCCTATAGGTCCTTTGCCGTCATTCATCACTACTCTGCTGAACTCTGGGTGGCCGGGTGGTCAGCAAGCTGAAGAGCGGACCTCAGGTGGGAGGAGGAGGCCCTTATCACCTTATGTATCTGTCCCATCAGGGCTCGGACGAGCCTTTGTGGACCTCCTCGCTGGCGGCAGGAGACGGTCGCTTTTGAGCGGGGTCGTTTGGAGAGGGTCCGACGGGCATCGGGCCCCGAGGTCCGACATCCCAGAGGCCTTCATCGGAGATGCGCTGCGAACGCCCGGAGGCCCCAAAAACGCGCGGGTGTGCCACCAAGCGCCACTGAGTGTGACAGGGATCAACAACCACGGAGTTGGAGGTCCACGGCTTTTCAAGTCCCGATGATGTCGTTGATCGCAGGGTAGAAGTAATTAGAGACCTTACCTGTCTCCCAGTTTGAGGTTGATCATTCCAGTCAAGAAGGCCATTGACATGGGATTGGCTCGCAACGAAGAGGCGAGCGGCTGTAGCCTCTAGACCTCTAGCCCAGTGAGAAGAACCAACACCACTCTGCGGCTTGATTGCCGGTGTTGGGGAGAAGGAATTGCATACAGTGGTAAGATCAACGAAATAGAATGCCAACTTCCCATTAAACAGATGGTTCCACCGTTTTACGTGTTCCACCATTTCCTTTTGCCTGGATGAGGGTGTCACCGTAACCCCCACAGTCGACACCTGGGAGGCCTTGTGCTCGGAACATGGGGTCGATCCAGACCACGTGGTGGCAGCCGAGCTTTCGACACCGAGGAGGGAAGCATGTGAATCGGTGAGCTCAGAACTGTAGCGGTGTAACAGTGAGTGCTACTCTTGGAGCCAGTTGGCGGGCCGTGTTCTGGGGCAGGACCAGCTCCGAACCGAAGGCTGGTGGCCGGGGAGGGTGATTGGGAAAGCAAGGGAGATGCTTCGGAGCAGAGGATTGCTGTCGTGTGGTGTTGCTTGCCAGTCTGGTGATTCAGTCGTCATCCAGGCACCGCCACAAAAGACGCCGGGGTACTTGGTCCAGAGTTTTTTTTGCAAGCAGCAGTCTTTGCAATTCTTGTCCCTCGTCTGAAGATCTGGAAAAGGATTCCTTAAAGGTATGGGCGAAAATCGGAACTCCGAACACATGCATGAAAAAAGGAACTCTTCCATGAGCACCATGCGCCATGGCTTTCTTGTACCCCTTGGCACCGAGGGCGCCACCGCAGCCCGCAAGCTCCACTGTTCTACCTCAGGCAGAGGCACCAGAGCCATACCTGATGACTCGACGTGTAGAGCAGTGCCTCATGTCTAGGAGTCTAGCACGCTTCAATGTGGTTGCCATCATATATTATCAATTTGGTTGCAGAGCGCTTGTATGGCTTTTGTGATTTTTACGGAAGATGAGACCGCCATGATTCGCCCAGGACGACTCCGGGTTCGCAGCTTCGGCTCATTTCACAGGCACAGAGGGTCAACGGGGTGCCCTCATGCTCTCTCTCAACGACTCTCTGAGGTGTTCTTTCCTTGGAGCCCCCGTGAGATGGCCTGTCCGGAATTCTGTGACCATATGAATAAATTTGTGAAGCCAGATGAACTGTGACCAGAAAGCTTTGTCATTCTGTCACCCATGTGTCTGTTCTCGATTTAACATAGATCACGACCCAAATGTAAAAGGAGAAGAGGCTGACCAATGGGTGACCAACGTTCGCTCCTTTAGGCGCGCGGCCTGGCTGGGTCTTCAAGCTGGGGCCAATGGGTTTGGGCTACTACCGTGAGGCGGTTCGGGAAAAACCAGGGCTGGAAGAAGTGGACAGTTGGCCAATTTGGGCCTAGGATGATAGATTGGGAGGCTGGAGAGTGCTTGTTTTCAAGCGGAGTGAAGGAGGTAGAGAGAGAGATTCAGAGAGTCACTCACATGATTTTAGAGACATCCACCTTCAGAGGAAAATCCGTTGATTCATGTGAGACAGCTCGGCTCAAAGGGTTCCGAGGGACGGACGCCGCGCCGTGGAAGTCATGGGCTCTGGTGCTTCAGCTCCTCCCAAGGAGGAGCAGAGCACTCTGAAGGTTTCGGAGCTCACGGAGGAGGAGCAACAGCGCGTGGATGAAGCGGTGAAGAAGGCGACCAATGAGACGTTGCTTCAAATCGAGAAGGAGAAGAAGTGGAAGACAGTGGCTGAGGAGTTGAAGCCCAAGTTAGCTGCCCGAAAATGTGCTGGTGAAAAGGTGCTGCTTTGGATCAGCGATGGAATTCTCTCATGGCCTTTGGCAGCCAATGCGGCGAAGGAGGGTGTGCTCTCATTGTTCTACCCATCCAAAGAGCAGCATACTTTGTCAGATGACTTGGTTGATGCTCTCAAGGCCGCCGAAGTACCTGAAGGGTCTTTGACCCATGTGGGGTGGATGTTTCATGGTTCCGAGATGACCGGAGAACACAAGGAGGCCAATTTGAAGTTTCTGGCTGCACTCAAGCCATTCCTCACAGCAGATGCACGTGTCGACATCTTGGCTTGTGAGTGTGTTGCCGGTCCCACCGGCATGAAGGTCTTCCAGGAGCTGGAGAAGGAGTCGGGCATCAATTTGGCGGCGTCCACCGACATGACGGGGAATCCGGCGGCTGGTGGTAATTGGCTACTGGAGACGGATGGTGTGGATGTCAAGGACACATACTTCACGGATGCCATTGCGGAGTTCAATGAGACCCTGCGTGATTGGAAGTTCCACCGCAAATGGCTCTCGAAGAAGCGTCGTTTCTGAGCAAAGTCGGAGAACTGGCACTTGTACAGTGATGCCGCAAATGAATCTCCATTCTTTGCCCAGTTTGCCCAGTATGCCCGTTAATTCCAAGAACTGTGGGATGTAAGTGATGCTGTTCCCAGCAAGCCCGCAGGAGAGTTTCAAGCACAACGGTAGTCACTACGGCACCGCCATGACCCAGTGACCTGTGGAAAAAGATGTGTTCAGTTCGGTGGGGATAACGACTCAGAAAAGCGTTTGTGATTCTATTTCGCTTCATGCAGGCAGACCAGGCAGATGCGGCAGACCTGCATGAATTTTCCGTCAGACACGGCAACTTTGCAGGAACGCCGCGGCCACGTCATTGAAGATGGTTTGGTCCCCAGGCTATTGGCATCAGAGTCTGATAACGCAAAGCTATTTGGACAGCACTCTGTGAGTTCTTTGTGAATTCTGCTCACGCTGGGACCACTCTCAGGCCTGACGTGGGAGGCGCTTTTGTCCGCATGGGCCTCAGGGGCTGGGAGTTTGGACGGAGGCCTTGGCACACTGCAGCTGTTGGATTGGAACATTTGCGCTTGAACAATTTTAAACCTGCCGTGACTAGGACAACCCCTGAGAGGACCTGATATATACAGCAGGTGGACCATGGTGGACCAACTGGACGGGGAAGAGCGAACACGATCGTCGTGAAGGCGGTCATTGTTAGCCCAAACTCGCCGTTTTTCACTTGCTCTTCGTGTTTTTGGGTCCGAGGCCCCGCCACAAGGTGAGGTCGGCTCCGCCTGGGCCTGGGCCTTGAGTAAAGGTTGTTGGGCTGTCGGGCTCCAGTCATGGCGGTGTTCTATGGCAACACGACGGAACGCCTTTTGCACAAAAGCTTCGTTGGTTGCCCCGTGGAATGCTTGCGGAACACTGTCGTGTGCCGTGTTTTGAGGTTGGACCCTTTGGAATGCAAGTGAAGCAGGACACGGAGCTGAAGGAGCGCCACGCTTGGCGTAGCAACCTCTAACCAGTCCGGCAGGTTCAATCCCAAATCCTGATGCAAGAGTTAATAAGAACTCTCCGTCTCCTGGCAGTATCCGCCTCCAGACTGACATGGACACGGCACGCCGGTAGGCGCCGCCAGCGAAAGAGACGTTGGGGAGCCCAGTGGCAATGACGGGGAGTGGCAATGACAGGGTGGGAGTTGAGCTGCTGAGGCTCTAAAAACTCGCAGAAAACTCGTCAATCTCACATTGAATGTGAACATTGTGAACAACTTTGATTGTTGTTCACCATCCTTCACAGGAAAGTGTGAGGCTCCAGATTCCAAGTGAGACGACAGCGCTACAGGACGACAGCGGTGCTACACCGAAAGGACACTTTCGGACTTCAAAGGATGAGACACCGTGGAATGCTTATCGTTGTCCCATATTGTGGAAGCGAGTGAGAACGGATGGTGACGGGATTGAAGAGGAAAGCTGTTGAAAAAAAAGAAAGACAATTTGTGTATGAGTACAAGTTTATGGGGGGGAGGCTCATGCAACGCGAGCAAAGCCTGTCGGACAAAGTGCCATCAAACATCTAAAAATATCCGAGTTCAACTCCATTCTTGTCTGGATGTGGCATAGGTCACTGGAAATGAAAAAGCAAAGCATATATCACCACCCAGCAACCTGAAACCTGACGTAAGGGGGTGAAGGAGTAGGAGCAATTGTCAGTTTGAAACCCAACGCCTGCATGCCTTGGAAGCTGTGTTGGCCCCATCGGCGTCGGAAAACCAACCTAGCCAACGGCGTGCGACACAGGTGGGGGCCGGGGACAGGGCACGGATTCTTTGCACTTGTTGTACTTGTTGGTGCCAGAGATCCAAAAGGTAATGTGATGAAGCTGGATGGAGTTTCAGGCTTTACTTGTAGGAACTTAGGACGTTCACAGAGGTCAGGCCAAAGATGCTCATGGGATTAGGCCATGTGACTTGCCCCCTTCCAAATGCACTTCAATGGCATACTGGTCTTGACGGCCTGAGTCGTTGCTTGGAGGACTTCGTGAGGGTCAGCGTCAAGGAGGATGCTCCGCATCGTGGCACGGGGCGCCCGGCAGGGCTGGGTTCTTTCGTTGGGTCCGGAGTCCGGGACCGACAGTCCCAACGCAAAGTCGAGAACGAAGGTCTCAAAAACATCTCACAACAAGCCGCCACTTGGGCTCTTCTTTTCTATTCTACCCTCCCAATTGAATTGGACATGCTCTTCATATGAGGGGGTTTATTAATCAAGAGTCTACATTGTTCTTTTTAAACACATTCCTTTGCGGAGTGTGTGACAATTGATTCTGGGAGCACCCTGGCCTAGCGCAACAGTGAACCCTGTAGGACCTGTGGGCCCTATTGGTCGATGCGGTGCGCGACCGACCGAGGCCTTGGTTGTAGCTGTAGCTATTGGAGATGAGGAAGCTCCTGCCCAAAGCGAGGCCGACGGCGAAGATGTCTGGAGCTACGCTTGGGGAAATGGAATGTAAAACGCAAAGATCTTGGGCCATACGCTTCTTTGTTCCTAGTAGCGCCTTGTTCCTAGTAGTAAGGCCAGGAGCCCCTAGTAGCAGGCCAGGAGCCCCTAGTAGCGTCCTTGCTCCTAGTAGCGATGCCAGGCGCCCCTAGTAGCTTCTTGTTTGTATTTGTTGGGTTTGTTTCGGAGTCTTCCCCAGCATATACCCTCAGCAACACCCCAGCACCTAGTCAATGGCGCCTGCAATGCTGTAGTTAGTTTGTTGATTCGGGTCTTTCCCATGCTTCCCCACATTTGGTGGGATGTTGAGAGACAACTCTTCGTTCTTGATTGGGGCGCCAGGCTTTGTTCCAAAGTGCTGTCAGAGTCATGGGCGGGAGCCACATCCATGAGGAAGCTCGGACTGAGAAGGGTTTAGACAAGTGGCCCGAGGTTTTTCTGCTTGCTTGGCCACGTGCAGACACTTCCTGATCCCTTCGTTTGTGGTCCTTGCTATGAAGACTTCAAGAAACGGAAGCAAAGGATGGGATGTCCAAGTGTTGCGTTTGAAAAACGAAAGATGGATGACTCGGAAGAAGGCAAGGATGTCCAAGCAAGGATATCCCAAAATGGATGGATGGATGTCCAAGCAAGGATGACTGGAACAGCTTGGAATTTCCGGGCTCTTCCAAGTCGTATCGACCCCAGGAACCTGCGAAGAGCCTGGACGAAGGCATCGACAGCATCGACTTGTTGTCCGAAAGCGACGAGGCCAGGCCCAATAGCCCAACCGCCTCAAAAGGGCCGCCAAATTGAGACTCGGTGGTAGAAGCTTCGGAAGCTTCGGAAGCCCTTCTGATCGTGATAAAGAGTCTTTAGTGATAAGATTCCAAAGTGCAGTGGCCAATTTATGGAGAGTCTCATCCGAGATCCGTGGATGGGATTTTGGAGACCGCATCAACAGGGCTGTCCAGTGCGGAAGTCGTCGGGCCGAGCTTAGACACAGACATCGCCCTCCTATCCTTCCGGGCCTTCCGAAGGTGTTTAACTTCTTTATCACATCCTTATCCCATGTCTTGTTTATCAAGTTCAACTCTTTGGGTCATTTCGAAGAGCTCTTACTTGCGGGGTGAGGCGGTGAGCCCATCTAAGTCCTTTGTTTCGCTCCAGGTGAAGAGCGAGGAGGTGGGGAGACGTTTTCCCAAGATGGCTGGGTGTATCTCCAGGTGATGACCTGACCGGACACGACCACGACCAGCTTGGATGCCGCATGTGGACTCACCACGAACCACGAAGCGGAACGTTGTCGGTCTGGCCCGTGCGCAGGCAATCCTTGCTGCACCGGAGGCACGTGGCTAGGGCCGGCATGGTGATTGGGGCGGGTTCTCCATGGTTCGCCTTGCAAAGTATTTAGGGTTATCAGATTTCCAGGGACATCATAGGATATAGATGTCATATATGATCAGCATCACTTTTCGGAACACATTGCGTCGCTTTTGTTCTTTCGCCAATCCATCACTCCAACCGCTCCAAGTTCCGCAAGGAGCCGCAGCTGGAAGGCTTCGCGCTTCTCCGTGCCGACCTGACGCCCGGCGCCGTTTTCGACTCGCCAAGAGAGCGGAGGATCAACCGGGTCAAACCCATAGGGCACTGAGCAAGGTGTGACCTTTTCATATTTTTTTCCTTTTTGCTTCATGGCTTTGGAACTTTGCGTGTATATGTCTCACCTAATTTAGTCTGTGCCTTCTATTGGAAAGGTGGAAAGGCTTGTCATGTCACTTGAAGTGGTTCGTTAAGTGTTGTAGATGGATTGGATTTGTGTTTCCAATGAAGCTGAGGATCTGGATTTGGTCCTTGATCTGGCAAACGCTGACCAAGTGGTCTGGCGGTTCGGTGATGGGTGAGTTCCGCAAGGATTCTGGGCTGAAACGATTTCCGGGAATCCTCACATGCCTGGAGTGAACAAGGAGTGACCAATGTGACAACCCACCAGCTTGACTTGGGGGGGAGCACCTTGTTTCATATCGATCGCAGCGAAGCTGCTGAGGACTTCTTGGCGTGGCTCACTGCGTTGGTGAGCTTTGCACTGTGCCTTCGCTGTGCAGAAGAGCGCAGGGACGACAAGAGGGATGTCAACTCGCTTTCGGTTTAGCTCACCTCCAAAGACGAGATTCGATGCCGAATCATTTCTGATCACTGCGTGTCACCTGTAGGGATGTCGTTCCGCACTCACATAGTTTGTTGGTTGGACTCTTACAGCTCCCAGAAACGAGCCTTCACTCACGTCCTGCAGAAGTACTACTAGCCGACTAGCCCTAATGGACTAGAAGTGCTGAGCCTGCGGCATGGCACACTCAGGACACGCTCTTTGTTGCTCCCCATGATCACCCCTGCGAAGAAAGTGGTGGAAGATGATGAGACCCATGAAGATCAGGAAGCAGAAGCTGAGGCCGAGGCCTAGCAAGCGCAAGAGGGTGACGTAAAGCGCCGGGATAGAGAGGACACTAGTCACCCGTGCCGAGTGCCGAGGACATCCGAGGACCCCAGCTGAATGAATGTAAAGATAGAGTTCTGCATGCTCAGCAGGTTTTTGGTGTGTCTGAATCTGAAAGCGTTGAGGGTGTCAATGTCTGCAGTCTGCAGGCAGGACGTTTCGAATAAATACGTTGTGGCTCTCAATAAAGCATCCGGCATTGTCGCATGCGGAAGAGTTCGGCGGGTGACCACACGTGAGAGGCAGAAGACAAGATCCCTGAGACCAACCCATTTGCCAATGGTGGAGGCGGGACCAAGTTTGTTCGATCGGAATGGATCCAATGCCTGAAGCCACCGGTGCAAGTCAAACCAAGTCAGGCCCCAACGTGGCACCGAAACACTTTCTCTCTTCTCCAACAGCCCATGCCGCCGAAGCTTGGGGGTTTATCTTCATTGGGAGTGGACATTTGTGAAAAATGTCCTCCACTAGGACACTAAATAGCCTAGAACCTCTTAAAATGCCTCTCCCCCAGGCGCGCTGGAGATCAAGCTTGACGTCACGAACCCCGTGATGATCCAACGCGCCAGAGAGCAACTGGAGGAAGCGGAAAAGCGAGCAGAAATGATCAAGTAACTTGGCTGTGCATGAATGGGCAATCATGGACAGTTTCTCAACTTACACCAAAGAATTGATTGTCCCAAACGGCAGCCGCCTCTCATGAACAATCCTAAACACATATTTGTTCCCAATCCCCACTTCCACAATGGCGAACGGCTAAGAAGCCCCCCTGAAATCATGAGCCACCCTCGCAACATTCATCGGGTCTTCTTCAACCTTCGACACATGCCGCAGAGGGGGTTTGGGGGATGTTTGAACCTTCCCATCGCCTCCCGCCGGACGACGATCGGCCAACTGCTTCTCCCAAGGAGCGCCCAGCCGGAGCACCGCGATGTCTTCGGCTGCACGGCTCTGCATTTGGCGGCGCACAATTGTCACCTGGAGGAGCCGCGTCACGCCGGGATGGTGATGGAGCGACGCGGCACGCCCGTGCCGATGCGAGACTTCCGTGGCAGGGTCGTTTGAAATGCTTGTTGCAATCCTGCTTGAGGTCATCATACATCATCCAATCTGTAAAGATAGTATAGGAATTGGAGAGGAATGGATAATCGATATATTATAGGAACGGATCTTTTGGGCT